GCAAGCCTGCCCCCCAGTCGTCAGCACACAGCCCCTCTCACTCTCTGGGTCTAGAGTTCCCAGCTGCTCCATCTCTCCATGTCATTGTCTCTGCCTCTATTTCTGGCGTCACTGTTTCTCCGGGTAGGGTCCTGCACTTCGCTTTTCTCTCTTAATGGTCCCAGGGGCCTCCGCTCCTGGACTGCAAAGTCAACCACACCCCTCCTTTTGCTACAAAACATCTATCTTTACATTTCCAACCCTCACAGTCAGTCCTGACAGTAATTATTCACTATTTTACCACAAGAGCTCTATCCCCATCTCATTTCATCAGCCCCACCTAGACAGACTGGATACTACTCAGTGGAGATTCGACCTTCCTCCAAGCCCTCTGGATCTAGGCTCCCTCCTGAAAGCGTGTAAGTTTAGTCACTTCTTGCCTTTGTAGCCCCCTCCCATTTTTGGTAGCCAACATCCAAGTTGCCCATCCCTGTCTACCCTGTGTATTGAGGTGGGTGGGAATGATCCTTGCTGTAAAGATTTGTTCCCTCTTTTGAGCTACTGCATCCCTAGGTGTAGATCAAGTTCATCAAATTGTATCAGATTACTCTTTTTTTCCTCTTCTTTCTTCTTCTAGTTGAGTTCTGATCATCCAGCCATTGAAGCCAGGTCAAGTGGATATTATCTGCAAGCGTGGGTGTTCTTGTGCATATGCCCTCTCTTCTTATCAGCTGGATGTTTCATTCTCTACGCTAGTCCTCTGTGGCTATGTCACTGACTCTGGGCCCAAGAGTCCCCAGGTCCTGCCACACTGCTGGCCAACCAGGTCTCCACCTGGGTTCACAGGAATCTATTGAACGTTGTAGGGCTTAGCTCACCGCTTCATTGCTGTTTTCCCCCTCACTTCCCTTTATTGGTGATGAACGTGGTTACCAGTCAGAGTGCATGTCTACTCATGTATTCCCATTGAGTCTTAGTCTTGGAAGGGGGTTTGCCCTGAGGAGACCTGACCACTTGCCTTGATGTCTCCTGGGCGAGCAACTTGCTTGTTCTTATAGTAGTCAGTCAGTCTGCCTACATTGTTTTGTATTTTTCCTGCCAGTCTTTCTTTCAAGAAGTATCTATCTTCTGTTTTTCTAGCTGCTCCAGGCTGGTCTGCTTCCTTTCCAGTGGAAATTTCCCACCTCAGAAGATTCTGGATGGGGTTCAGGATTCCACCTCTGGTCTTATGTAATGCAGAGGCCCCATAGGAAGCCTCCTTCACTGAGCACATTGTAACCCCATTTTAGGTATTCCAATCAGTTATAGGCAGAAGACGGACTTACAAGCTTTCTGTGGTGATATTTCTGGCTATTCTTTTATCTCCCCCTCAAATGTCTATTTTATAATGGTATGCCAGGGAAACCAAGATTCAAAAGACAGCCAAGCATCTTAACATTATTTCCCCCCTTTTGCCCATTCCAACCATGTCACAATCCCTGTATCCCAGAGCCCTGTTGTTCCAAGGTTGTGCATACATCATTATTTACCTCTGTCCCACTTAGCCCATGCAAGCCTGCTTAATTGTTTTCCCATCCACCTTGCCCTTTGCCTAATTTTAAGAGGAGAACATTTGGCCTTTGCTCTTGAAGCTCAATGAAAGAGTGCAATTGTTTAAGTAGTCAGTGACTTTAAAGAAAACACCATTTTTTTCCCTGTGTATTTTTTTTGTTGTTGATGAGTGTATACTGAGCAAACCATTCGACAGTTTCTACATGCACAATTTAGTGACATCGATGATCTTCTTTGATGTGTGCAACCATTCTCACCTCCTTTTCACGATATTCCTCCATCAACGCCAACTCTCCCCATCACGGCTTCTCTCTGAGTTTCCGAGTTGCTGTTGTCAGTTTGATGCCAAATGGATAGATCTTACTGTGGGAGAAAGTTGAGGGTTTCTGCTCCTGCAACAGGTCATTCTGAGTCAAAACTTACCTCGTAGCACTTAGCCACAATATATATCTTAAATAGCATAATATTCAAGGCAGATCTTTTATAATTAGTTAAGCCAAACCGTAATTCAGTTTTAAGAAGACTTCAGGGAGTATTTTTGGTTTCAGGTTTGAAGATGATCTCAGGACAATAGTTTCAGGGTTTCATCCACCCTCTATGGCTCCAGAAAGTTTAGAACCTGTGAGAATTTGAACTTCTGTTCTGCATTTCCTCCCTTTTGATCAGGATTCATGTATGGAATAGTTGATTAAAATGGTAGCTGAACACCATCTAGTTCTTGTCTTGTGGCAGAGGAGGTTCATGGAGGCGGTTAGCCACACATTTTACTTCCTCTCCCTATTCTTTTTTTTTTTTAATTCCCCTGGTTTTGTATGAGTGTATTCATATACATTGTTAAGTGTCATCATGTATAGGGTTTCTGAGTAGTGGTTGATGGGCTTGAACAGCTGACCTTGTTGCTAGCAGTCCAGTGTTTATCTTGCCGTGCCACACCAGGACTCCGTTTATATATGAGTGGGGACTTCACAAAGCTTGTGGAAAATGGAATTAAAAGATGCAGCATCTCTACAAACTTTTTGAAGCTTCCTTGCATATGCATATATACACGCATGTGGTAAGCCCTGGTAACATAGTGGGTTATGTATTGCACTGTTAACCGCAAGGTCAGCAATTTGAGTCCAGCCTGCGATCCACACAAGAGAGGTGAGGCTTTCCGTTCCCATAAAGATTGACAGCCTTGGAGCTCCTATCCAGGGTCACTGTGAGTCAGAGCCAACTCGACGGCCAGCCATATGTGGTGTGTATGATGTGTGTGTGTGTGATTATCACTTCCGTTTATTTCTTACTGCACGGCTTCATTTCTGATCTCCCTCAGTGCATCGCTGTGCTCTTCCTTTACAGGTGGTGCTCCTAACTACTACCCCAACAGCTTTAGTGCTCCAGAACAGCAGCGTTCTGCCCTGGAGCATGCTGCTCGGTATTCTGGGGATGTGCAGCGCTTCAACAGTGCCGATGAGGACAATGTCACTCAGGTAACCTTCAAAGCATTAAGCCAACTCAGACAACCCAGCGGTAGTTCAGGGAGATCATAGATTTATGATCCTGCTTATATGTGAAATTTACTACATGCTCATTTTTACTTTGAGATTTCATGACACTATACAGAAGCACAAGGAGCTCTGGTAGCGTAGTGGTTACGAATCGGGCTGTGAACCTTAAGGTCAGCAGTTCGAAACTACCAGCTGTTCCACGGGAGAAAGATGAGGCTTTCTACTCCCGTAAAGATTTACAACCTCGGAAACCCTGTATAGGGTCACTATGGGTCGGAGCCGACTCGATGGCACTTAACAACAACAACAACATACAGAAGCACAGTGTGATGCTGTAGGATCTGCACTGGACTGTGAGCCACAAAGGTTGGCAGTTCAAACCCACCAACTACTCCTTGGAAACCCTATAGGGTTGTTATGAGTCAAAACCAACTTGACAGCACTTAACAAAAATAACAACATGGTGGCTACATGCGATAAGCACTGGACTGTGAACCACACAGTAAGCAATGGGTTACAAGCCACAGAGCCCACAGTTTGAGCCCACCAGCTGCTTCATGGGAGAAAGATGAGGCTCTCTGCTCCCTCGAAGATTTAAAGCCTTGGAAACCTTAAACAGGGTTGCTATGAGTTGTAACCAACTCGACGGCAATTAACAACAGCAACTTATAGAGCTAGTGTTTTTAAGCAGCCATGACACTGTTGTTGGAGGCTCACAGCCTAATTCTGTGACTAGAAGAGCTGCCTGGGAAATAAGAGGGTTCAGATCTGTACTATTCAATGTTGTGTAATATTCCATCGTATGTATGTACCAAAGCTTGTTCAGCCATTCATTCCTCTGCTTATGGGCAGACGTCTAGGCTGTCTCCATCCTTTTGCTGTTGGAAACAGTGCTGCAGTGACCATGGTTGTGCATATATCATTCATGTCATGGCTCTGATTTCCTGAGCCACGAAAGGGAGAGGCCCTATACTGTGCTCAGGTGATTTTAATTGTAGGCTATACTGCCACCCAGTGGTGCCACAGAGGAAGGACCTGGAGAGCTATTTTCATAAAGATTGTTGTAAAGTGTCATCCAGTTGGTTCCCACCTGTATAGGGTTTCCAAGGAGCGGCCGGTGGGTTTGAACCTCCAACCTTTGGTTAGCAGTCTAGTTCTTAACCTGTAGCACCATACCAAGCAAGAAAACCTTGTGGAGCTTAGTTGTAATCAGGAACACATGGGTTTGTCATGAGTCACAATTGTTTGAGTGGCAACCAGTTTTACACTGCCTTCAGTTTGTAAGGAATTCATAAGCAGTGACTTAAAAAGAACGTTATTAAAATGCAGTTATTAGCTGTTATCAGCAAGTGGATTCTTCCTGTTTTGCTTAACACAATTAGTCAGAAACTCACATAACACAACTAATAGGTTCAACTATATATTTTAACTTGAAGATGTTTCTACTCATTTAAAATGTGTTACGTTGGTGCTTTTGCTTCATGGTAAATGGGTGGCACTGTCCTCCACGAGCAGGTGCGAGCCTTCTATACACAAGTGCTGAATGAAGAGCAGAGGAAACGCCTGTGTGAGAACATTGCAGACCATCTCAAAGACGCCCAGCTGTTCATCCAGAAGAGAGCGGTGAGTCTTTGTAAGCTAATGGGTGACATCTTCTGGCAAGAGAAGGTACTGCAGATGTCTGGGAGAACACCTTCAAAGGGAAAGTGGTATTTCTGTTTTACCTGGGTTGCACAAAGGGTGAAGTGCTTACCTATTGACTGAAAAGTTGGCAGTAGGAGTCAACCCAGAAACACTTCAGAAGAAAGGCACGGAGGTCTACTTCCAAAAGATCACAGCCATGAAAGCCCTATGAAGCGCAGTTCTACTCTGAAACACATGGGGTCTTCATGAAAGGGTCAACTCGACAGCATCTGGTTGTTACTGTTTTTGTTGTTAGGTGCCATTGAGTCGATAACGACTCATAGTGACCTAATGCACAGCAGAACGAAACACTACCCGTAGTGTTTCGTAGTGGGTCAACCTCACTACTGTTGCCATGCTTGAGTCCATCGATGCTGCCACTAAGCCAATCCATCTCACTGGGGGTCTTCCTCTTTTTCTCTGACCTTCCACTTTACCAAGCATGATATCCTTCTCCAGTGACTGGTCCCTCCTGACAATATGTCCAAAGTATGAAAGATGAAGTTTGGCCATCTTGGCCTCCAGGGCTGCACTTCTTCCAAAATGGATCTGTTGGTTCTTTTGAGGGGCTTTAAAAAAAAAAGTAACTCACCACTCAGCAGCAGCTGACCATTCGCTCTCCATGTTTTATATCATGTGGCGTGCCCACTGACCCTTAACTCTCGGTCCAGTGTGTAAGAATTTAAATGCCTTCAGGTTGGATTCTTTCCTAAACTGCTTCACTTGACCCACAGCTAAATTCTTAGCAGACTAGTGATATCTAATACCAAAATGTGGGCTTCACCACAATTCTGCTTAAACTTTAGATGATTAGAAATACAGCTAATACTTTACGTTTGAAGTCTGCCTAGTGGCAGGTTGTCACAATTCGTGACTTAACCTGCAGAAGCCAACAAGGAACTTGCATGTTTGGGAGGCGAGAACAGAGCTGCTTCCAAAAAGTCAGGCTGAACTTTGAGCTGAGATACCAGGAGCTGTCTGATGGCAGCTCATTGAGGTGTGTGACGCCTTTTTGCTTCTGAATTTCTGGACCTTGCACAGGATAAGCTGCTTATAGATCTAGGAAACTCCCACGATTTTCCTGTCTCTAGATTACTACTTTTCTGTTCACAAGAGCAGTCATAGGGAATGTGCTCAAGAGCTTGCGGGCACGTATCAAGGCTAGCTGCTCTCTCTGTAGGCAGAGATCCATGTCTTCAACTGTTTTTCATGTGTGTGTGGAAAATGACACTTTGGACTTATTGCTGTCTCCAGCAGAGGGCCTGATTATTGCTCTATGAGATAGGGATTGTTATTGTCAGCTCCTAACGCAGGGCATCCCCATGCACAACAGGATCAAACGCTGCTTGATCCTGAACCGTCCCCGTGGTTGGCTGTGGATTGTGTATCATTGTGATCCATGGAGTTTTCGTTGGCTGATTTTCAGAAGTAGGTCACTGTGCCTTTGTCATAGTCTGCCTTAGTCTGGAGCTTTGTTGAAACTTGTTCCACTGTGTAGCAACATGCAAGCCACCAGTGACAGACAGGTGGTGTTTATGCATGAGGCTCATTTGCTGGAGAATGAATCCCAGTGTCCCCCGTGGAAGGAAGAATTCTCCTGCTGAGCCCCTCTGCCCCTCATGTGAGCTAGGTGGCTCAGGCTTGGTCTCATGTCACTGATGGGGATGGCAAGACTACTTGTAAGTGGCAGACCTGGACTCAGACCTCAGCATTCTTCTTTCATGCATGCTGACATCATCTGGGTCATGCAGGCTTCATCTGGGTCCATGAAGCCTACCTCCTCCTACTGTCCAATTGGTGTCAGACCCTGCCTGAGCATCCCTGCTCAGCAGGACTTGTGTTGCCCAGCAGATGCGGCTGTCTCTCTTCTGACTTTAAAGTCCGGTAGTGTCTGGGTCCGTGGCATAGTTGAGAACTCCCTCTGAAGTAAGCTCTTTATTGCGCAAAATGCAGCTCTCTTCATCGGATGCTCTCTGAGGCTCCACTCATCACAGCGTTGATGCTTAGATAAGTGACTGGTCCAAGATCATTCAGCTACGTAGGTCAGACTTTTTCCTGGACCGCCTGGTCTTAACTCAGAGGCCTGTGTTAGCAGACACTGTCTGGTACTACTTCCTGCTGAAGTGTAGACCTAGGGCGTGTCATAGTGTTTGTTTGGGGTGATGTTTACATCTATTTTCATTGGGTTTCAGGTCAAGAACTTCAGTGATGTCCACCCTGACTATGGTGCCCGCATCCAGGTGCTTCTGGACAAATACAACGCTGAGAAACCTAAGGTGAGCCTAGAGTTGCCAGGATACGTAGACCCGTGTGTGCCCATTTCTTTTGAGCGTCCCTTTGCTCAGAGACTGTACTGCAGCTTCTAGATTTCTTAAGCAATTATTCAGAAAATCATTTGAGATGCAAAGAGCTCACCTGCAAAACACATACTCTTCATTTGAGCTCTGGACCTTATAACGCAGCTGAAAGTTGTCTGAATTCTGACTTTGGTTTCCATTTGAACACAAACTAAAGCTCAGATAAATACTCCGTAGCTGTTGCCTAGTGAGTTCCCTAACCGGCTGACCTTTCTCTCTTAAAACAGAACATGATCCGCACCTTTATGCAGCACGGCTCTCACTTGACGGCGAGGGAGAAGGCTAACCTATGAGGACCTGGGGGTGCGCCCTCTGCCAAGGAGCTCCCTGCCTGTGAAGCAAGTGTGACCTTCACACATGTAGTGCTCCCTCGCGGGATAGGAGATTCCTGTGCTAGATATACAAATGCAAATGCAAACTAATGTCTTTAAAATCGTAGTCCAGGTTTCTGTTTCTCTAGCAAATAGCCTAATTGTAACTTTTAACACTTTGAATAACTTTTGTTTCCCTAGGTAAACTAGTAGGCATTTAACAGTCAATTGAAAGAAACATGTATTTGCTTTTGATAGTAAGTTGGATTATTCATTTAAAATGAGTAGAAGTAAAGGTTGTTGCTGATTTATGATTTTATTTGGTAAAAGAAAAATCTGTGAACTTGGTATGTTTACATACCACCCCATGGCCTGTTCAAACATATATACATCTAAATTGTGGTTGTAATTACACAAGAAAAGAAAAAGATGATTCACTCAGGCATTTTTTATTTTTATAAATTTATTATACAATAAACACATTCAACACAACGATTTCTTCAGAAATTAACTTAAGCACCATCATGGCCTAATGTTTATTCCAGCTTGGAATTGATCCGTGTCATTTTTGTTTCTTCTTGGAATTATATTAAATATATACAGTGCTGATTTTCCAACCGAGTGATTTGTAATTGCCCACGTGCCCACGTTTGTTGTTGCCAGGTGCCGTCGAGTCAGCTCCAATTCCTAACGCCCGGATTCTGAGCCATCCTTGCTGGTTTGTTTTGTTTCTAAGTTTTTGTTGTGAATTGAGTGAAAGTTTACAGGGCAGATCATCAGTTTTACATTCAACCAATCATATACTTTGTTTCAGTACAATGATTATAATGCCTTCCATGTACCATCAGTTAACAGTGTTTTTTTCTCTATTCATGTTACTTTTTTTTTTTTTTTTTTTAAACACTCAGGCATATATAATAATTTAAACCATCAGAGTGCACATTCTGTAAATCTGCCTCCTGGCCTAGAGTCCTCAGCGGCTCCCTCTCTCCATGTCCTCATCTCTGCCTCCATCTCTGGTGTCACTGCCGCTTATGCTCTTCTCCCTTGATGATCGGAGGGTCCTCTGTTCCTGGCCTGTAAGATTAACTTCTACCTTTACAATTGTAACAGTCACAATTAGTCATGATAACAATTACTCACTATTGAATCATAAGAATCTTATCCCTATCTTTTTTCACCAGACCCATCTAGACAAGATGAAAAGCGTTCAGTGAGAACTCTATCTTCCTCCCCCTGCCCCCCATACTCTTAAAACTAAACTCCCTCTTGAAAACTTGTAAGCCAGTCACTTTGTGTGCTTTCATCGCCCCCTCATTTTAGGTAGCCAGTGTCTAAGTTGCCCGTCCCTATCTACCCTGTATACAGAGTAGATAGCATTGATACTTGATGTGAAAACTCCTTCCCATTCTACTGGTATTTTGAGCTACTACCTCCATGAATATAGGTCAAGTTCATCAAAGTATAGCAATTCACCCTCATTTCCTTTATTTAAATTTTATTTATTTATTTATTTTCTTATGTTCCTCTAGTCGAGTTCTGATTATCAAGCCACTGAGGCTAGGTCAGATGGGTACTATCTATAAATTTGGGTGTTCTTGTGTGTCTCCCCTCACTTCATATCAGCTGGATGCTTCACTCTCAGCTCTAGCCCTCTGCGTCTATGTCCTTGACCATGGGCTCAGGTGTCCCCAGGTCTCACCACACTTTGGACCAACCAGCCCTTCCTCTTCTCTCTTTCATCTCCAGGTCAATGGAAGTCTATGGAATGTGGTTGAACTCAGCCCATTTCTTCATTTGCTGCCTTCCCCCTCTTCAACTCACCAGTATATCAGTGTGGTTGCCAGCAAGCTTACATGCCTGCTCATGTGTTCCCTTTGAGTTTCAGTCTTAAAAGGGGGTTTGTCCTGAAAGGACTTGATTGCTTGCCTTGATGTCTTCCCAGTGAATAGCTTGCTTATTCTTATAGTAGCCAGTCATATTGACATTTTTTGTTTTGGGTTTTTCCTGCTCATCTTTCTTTGTATATGTGTCTTGTGTCACTCTAGCTGTTCCACACTGGTCTACTTGTCCTTTCTAGTGAGAATGTCCCACCATCAGAAGGTTCTGTATGGGGCTCAGAATTCCACCTAAGGTCCTGTACACTGCAAAGGCTCCGCAAGAGGCCTAGGCAAGTTGTAGAACCCCTTTTACGTATTTTCCAGCGACTGGCCCCTCCTAACAATGTCCAAAGTATGAGAGAGGAAGTTTGGCCATCCTGGCCTCCAAGGAGCACTCTCGCTTCACTTCGTACAACACAGATCTATTGGTTCTTTTGGCAGTCCATGACACTTTAAAAAAAAAAAATTCTCCTCCAACACCATAACGCAAATGTATCAATTCTTCTATGGTCTTCCTTATTCACTGTCCATCTTTTGCATGCATATGAGGTTACTGAAAATACCATGGCTTGGATCAGGCACACCTAGTCCTCAAGCCAACATCTGTGCTCTTCAACATTTTAAAAAGGGCTTGTGCAGCATATTTGCCTATTGCAATATGTCGTTTAATTTCTCGACTGCTGCTTCCATGAGTGTTGATCCAAGAAGAATGAAGTCCTTGACAACTTCAGTCTTTTTTCCGTTGATAAGAATGTTGTTTATTGGTCCAATGGTGAAGATTTTTGTTGTCTTTGCATTGAGATGTAATCATACCAAAGGCTGTGCTCTTGGATCTTCATCAGTAAATATTTTAAGTCTTGTTCACTTTCAGCAAGCAAGGTTGTATCATCTGCACATTGCAGGTTGTTAATCAGTCTTCCTTCAATCCTGATGACACGTTTTCTTCATATAACCCAGCTTCTCCGATTATTTGTTCAGCATATAGGTTGAAAACATGATGAAAGAATACAACCTTGTTGCACACCTTTCGTAATTTTAAACCATTCAGTGTTCCCATGGTTCTGTTCGAACAACTGCCTCTTGGTCCATGTACAGATGCCTCATGAGCACAATTAAGTGTTCCGTTGTATTCATACTTGGCAATGTTGTCCACAGCTTGTCATGATCCACATAATCAAAAGCCTTTGCATACTCAAAGAAAATGAACACTTCACAACATACTAAGAAATTGAAAATCCAAGAACATGGAAACATTAAGACTATGAGGACACTCATAAGAAAGAACACAAAAAGCATGAACTCAACAACTTGTGACCTAAGATCAATGGAGAATGTTCCATGTGCACTGGAAAAGAATGTGTATTGTGCAGTTGTTGGGTTGAATGCACTGTAAGGAAGACACACAGCACAAAGAAAGCAGCAAAACCACAAAAAACAAACATAATGGCAGCAATCCATCCATACCTATTGATAATTACAGTGAATGTAAATGGATTAAATGCACCTGTTAAGAGATGGAGAGTGGCAGAATGGATAAGAAAACAAGATCCTTCAATATGCTGTCTGCAAGAGACACATCTCACACACAGAAACAAAAACAGATTAAAAGTCAAAGGATGGAAAAAAAAAAAAAAACCAAGCTAATTGCAATAAAAAACGAACAGGAGTGGCAGTACTAATTTCTGATAAAATAAACTTTAAGGCAAAACCCAGTATAATAGATAAAGATGGTCATTAGCTCATGATTAAGGGGACAAATGAACAAGATGACATAATCATAATAAATATCTATGCTCCCAATGAAAGAACTCCAAAATATATAAAGCAAACTCTCATAGATTTGAAGAAAGAAATAGATGAATCTATAATAATAGTGGGTGATTTTAACACACCGCTTTCAAAAATGAATAGAACAATCAGAAACTGGACAAAGACACAGAAGAACTAAACAGCACAATCAGCCAACTGGACCTCATAGATGTGTACAGTGCATTCAACCCAACAACTGCACAATACACATTCTTTTCCAGTGCACATGGAACATTCTCCATTGATCTTAGGTCACAAAACAAATGTCCATAAATTTACAAATATCAAAATACTACAAAGCATCTTCTCAGACCACAATGCTATCAAATTAGAAATCAACAATAGGAAGACCAAGTAAATAAAATCAAATACATGGAAACTGAATTAACACCCTGCTGAAAAGCGACTGAGTAGCAGAAAGAAATTAAACATGAATTCACAAAGTTCCTAGAAACAAATGAGAATGAAAACACAGCATACCAAAATCTTTGAGACACGGCGAAAGCGATGCTGAGAGGACAATTTATTGCAATAAACGCACACATCCAAAAAGAAAAAAGAACCAAAATTAACACATTAACACAGCATCTACCACAATTAGAAACAGACCAACAGAGGGAACCCACAGCCACCAAAAGAAAAGAAATACTAAAGATTAGAGCAGAAATAAATGTGATAGAAAACAGAAAAACTATAGAAAGAATCAACAGGACAAAAGCCTTTGCATAGTCAATAAAGCACAGATAAGCATCTTTCTGGTATTCTCTACTTTCAGCCAAGATCCATCGGACATCAGCAATGATCTCCCTCATTCCACGTCCTCTTCTGAATCCTGCTTGAACCTCTGGAAGTTCTCTGTCAATGTATGCTTTACAGCCGTTTCTGTATTACCTTTAGTAAAACTTTACTCACATGGGATATCAAAGAGATTGTCTGATGATTTCCGCATTCCATTGAATCACCTCTTTGGAATGGGCACAAATAGTGATTTTTCCAATCAGCAGGCCAGATAGTTGTCTTCCAAATTTCTTGGCATAGATGAGTGAGTGCCGCCTATGCTGCCTCACTTTCTTGAAAAGATTTCAATTTTTATTTAATCAATTCCTGGATCCTTGTTCTTTGCCAATTCCTTCAGTGCACTTTGGACTTCTTCCTTCAGTATCATTGGCTCTTGATCATATGCTACCTCTTGAAACAGTTGAACATCCATAGAATCCTTCAATATTGAATTTGAGGCTTGATTTTTTTCTTCAATTCTGTCAGCTTGAGAAATGCCAAATGTTCTTACCTTTT